GACAACCAGTAGGAGTGAAGAATCTGTCAGTGGCGCTCACACGTCACCGTCTCGAGTGCAGGCAAGACAGGACAGATTTCCTGAGCGATTTCACTGTTTTATATGATTTTACTGTAACCACATACATGGATATAAAAAATGACGCGTTAGAAAAGAAACCGTTGGCTGTCTAAGTGAGTTTGATTCATACATTGATGGTTCGAGTTGTTAATTACATGATGCAGTGAGCAGTTTAGCACCGGTTAATGATTTAATGCACGAGCACTTCTGTAGTTTATATAACAACACTCTTCAACAGCAGAATGGTACTTTTATTTCTTTTAAGTCTAATTCCTAGTCATAATAGAATGATATCTTAGTTTTACCGGCAATATACAGTTTGTGATTGCATTTTATATGTCCAGACGTGCAGTCTACCAATAACATTAGAGCTACAGCAGTAGGAACGCCCACAAGCATCTTCACAGCACGGAGTCTAGCGACATACAGCGAAAAAGTCGCTGGCAGTGTGAACGGGGTTTAATGCGTTAACTGCCCAACACTGATGCTAAGTATATGATTATGTACGAGGACCAATTATGCTTTGTGGCTGTCCTGTTGGATGTATGCTTAATCATTTTGTTAAACCTTGATAAAGTAGGTAACTGGTCTTTGGAGGGGAAAGCATAATAAAATGGCTCCTAAACTATAGAATAAGCATAATCTCTCATTATGAACTCCATTCAAATATTCAGTTTACCTGGTAAAGTTGCATGTAGAACAGAGGACACTTGGACGTAATGAGGTAAGATACAATAAGCTATTGAAGCATATCACGGCTGTGATCGTAAATCATTTGCATATATTGTGATGACAAAAAGACAATCAGTTTAGCATCTGTTGAGCTGGGGAAGGGAGGCCTGGGTAATCCACTGGAAGGATGTGTAGCTTTCAGAGCAATATGACTTTTCCATTATGTTCCCTATTCAAGCAAATCAGGAAGAGGTCTGGACATCCACATGCTTTGGCTGTTTTTACTAGAGCCGTGATCAGCGTGTAATCGGATGGGCCTGGAAAAGAACACTCAATAAATGTTGTCTTCTGGTTGCGATCTTCTTATATGATTAAGGATGTTCCATTATGCTGCGCTGTGGATTGTTGTATTCCAGGAGGTAGGCGTGATTAGATGTGTTGTAATCCGGACAGTCTAAACAGTGCTCGTATATTTTTTCCACTAAGCTTCATATTTCTTTGAAAAAGCACCACAGTTTTTTTTCCTCCTGTGCTGTTCTTGCTCTACTGTCCCCCATCCCCACCCCCCCACAGTCGCTGTTCTTGCCTGTCTTATGACTATAATCATTGTAGTAGAAGTAGTTGTTATTTAATTAGTTATTTAACTTTTTTATTTATATAGTTTTGAACTATATATCATATTCATAGAACCGGGTTTGGCTAATCCTGTGTCTCGCTCTGCCAGTTTGGATGGATCTGTCGATAACAGATCCGCAGCTCTGCCTGCTCAGCAGGGGGAGGATGGCAATGCCTAGCCATGTTGAGAATGTCAGTCTTTTGAAATTAGACAAATACCTCAATAATTATACATGTTGACAAATATTGTGATAGGCTGTAGCAAGATGTACTAGTTTAAATTACAGGAGAAGCAAATAATAAATAGTGCATCTCACAAGTCAGTTTTCTTTTTCTTTTGACAATGAAAATGTCTTTTTTTTTACAATTTCCAAAATCTTGCCTGAGGTTAAAAATGTTTCTTTCAAGCACTCAGTCAGGTGAGACTTTTCAGGAAAAGTACAGATTTTTGATCAAATATAATACCGTTTTTCATCTCTGCTATGTCTGCCAATACTCAAATTAATAGAAATTAGCTTTGTCTTAAAAATTTGTAATTGTAAAATAAAATTGCTTAATTTACAAAGGTTAAGAAGCATCATTACACAAACAAAACCAAAATAAAACCATAATTATAACTTTAACTGTATTATATAATGATGCTGCTTAGCTTTTTGGATGAGATTATTGTAGTTTAGAATTTTTTTTCTTATTCAATTTTTTTCATGTTTTTAATATATTGTAAAATTGTAAAGATTGTAATTGTAAGGATTTCAAGTTTTCTAATATACCACATATGTTATACAAAATAATTTGTGGATGTTTTGATTAGTTCTGGAGTTTCTGGAGTCTGTTTTTGGACTCATTTCATTCACTGTTATCCCTAAACCTTCTGTAGTAGGTTTGTACGTCTATTCCTAGATTTCTTTTTAAAGCTCTGAGCTGTGGCTGTTATTGCTAAAAGGGTGGAATAATTTTAAGTATGTGCGGTTTCTATGGGAAAGGCACTCGTCCAATGCTGTGTATATCAGACATTCATCAACAACTTTCTGTGTTCATTTAGCAGGAGCTGGTGTGCTGACAGCAGAGCATCCAGTTGAGAAGCTCAGTGTTGCGGTGACTGTTCCAGCCATGCAAGACACAAACCTGCAATCAGTCAAAGAACACAAACCTGCAAAGAAAAGTAGCTCCACTAGTTCACTGCCTCAGAAAGCAGGCGAGGAATCAGACAGTGATTTTGAGTCGGACCCACCCTCTCCCAAAAGCAGTGAAGACGAAGAGGCCGAAGAGGAGGAAGGTCTCAACAGCGAACGTGAAGACACCGAACCTGAGAACCTGGGTCAGAGGCCGTTACTCATGGACTCTGAGGAAGAGGAGGACAAACACAGCTCAGACTCAGATTGTGACTCTAGGAAAGCAAAACTTGGGTTGTCGAAGGAAAAGGCTGCGCTTTTTCCTCCTAGAACAGTGAAAGCTGAATCTGGACCCAGTGTGATCACTCCTCCCAATTCGCCAAGTGTAGCCATGCCTGTCGCGAGCATTGTGGATGTGTTTGGTGCTGTTCCTTTCGTTGGCAGTGGTCAGCCCAGAGTGTCACCAGAGAGCTCAGATATTTTTGCCCAAGCCCCTTTTAGGCAGGCTAGCCAGGAGAACGCTGCGGAAGAGACTGACATATTCATCAAAGCTCCTTTCAACAGAAACCTCTCCAGGTCCAGCAGGAGTGGTGATGGACCCAGCGGCCAGACGCCACCCGTTTCTCCTGACAGCGTGGATGTATTCGGATTCTCGCCTTTCCAACCTAGCCACGTAATGAACAGGGATTCTAGGAATCAGGAGGACATCTTTGGCCAAGCACCTTCCGACGAAGCAGACAGTCCCCAGCAACAGAGGCAGAAGCAGCGCAGTCTTCAGAAACTCTCCTCGCGGCAAAGGCGCACCAAGCAAGAGGCGAGTGGCGGGAATGGGAAGCGACACCACGTCACGCCCACTGGTGGCAGGAAGAGCAACAAACCCAGTTTCCGTACCCCCGAACGGGTGCGAAGGCACAAGAAAGTGGGCAGACGGGACTCGCAGAGCAGCAATGAGTTCCTCAGCACGTCTGACTCCAAAGAGAACATCAGTATTGCCCTGGGCGAGGTGATGGAAAAAGAAGCTGCGTTGCCTTCGGAGGAGGTCTTGTTGGATCCGTTTGGAGCCAAGCCTTTTCATCCACAAGATGGCAGTCGACACGGCCAGCACCAGAGCTTGGGAGACAACAAAAGTGAGATAAATTCGACCAACACTAGGCCGAGAACCAGTTCCTTACATGGCGTGTCTGACGAAAATAAGATAGATGACTTCGGAGCTGTACCTTTCACAGAACTGGTGGTTGAAAGCGGAGCTCCGCAAACCCCACAAAAGGATCTCGACCCTTTCGGAGCCGCACCTTTCCCCTCAAAGCAGTGAATGTCTTGTCTTCCGGCACACATGCAGAGATGATAGACACACACACACATACACCGCTACATTATGCAAAGCCCAAGCAGCCTTTTGAAATGTCTTTTAACGGACGGCAGCTTTGTTCTGTGATCTCTGTGTATGTGCAGCCCATTGGGACATAGGCCTTTAAACTAGATAACATTCAACTTTTGTAGTTTTTCAAGTATTTTAATACCTAACTGGACAGCTAAATCCTCTTTTCCTTTTGGTGACTTAAGCCTGTGGTTGATGGATGCTTTCAGATTTTGAAGCATATTCCTTAGCCTTTACGTGCTAGAAAGCCTTCTATGCTTCAATACAATAAGCGCTCTGCTCAGTAAAAAAAAAAAAAAAGTTAAAAAAGCACATTGGAGATGTGTGTGTAATCCTTCATTTTAATAGGATTAAGAGTAAAATACCAATATAGTACAGCATTTTGTAGTTTGTACTCCATTGCTGACCACTGAGTTGGTGCAACTCCTATCTACCAACATGAAACACCAAAAAGCCTTATCTGGGTATTCCCCACCCTGCTTAACAGTACCTCGAATGCACAATAGCTGTTTGTAGCCCGTTTGTGTCAATGGAATCATCTGAGTGTAGGCCTTCTCCATTTTAATGTCATTCGCATAGATTTTATGCATATTTTTATTTTTAAATGCATTCAATGTTTTAAAGCCTTATGTTTCAATGTCTACATACATGAAAAGGGACTTGATTTAATGTTCCCTTTAGTAAACCGACCACACAAGAGAAGTTAAACTTGCAGTTTATTAGACAATATTGTTATGACTCGCATAGAAATAATTCCCCAACCTGAACTAAACATCTTTGATGTTATCAATGATTAGGTGTTCCACTACGTCTGTATGTATTTACCAGTAACCTACAATCATGAACAATTGGCTCTTGTGGAAAGGGAAAAGAATTAACGAATGTGCTCAATACAATTTTGCGTATTTATGTATCAGTCCCTTGTTTGAAGCAAACATTTAAATTTTAGTCATGAAGGTTATCACAATTTAACTGATGAAAAGGCCATTTAGAAGATGCATTTACACTCTGCAGTTTACAATATCTGCAGTTTGAACATTCAAGACCAAAAAAATGCTTCTTTTTGTTTCAAACGTTGCAAGATGCGTTCCTTTTTTCTTATGTAGTACTACGCTCTAACAATGCAATAAAATGTTTTTTTTTTTTTTGGAGATCATTAGTCCTTGTTTTGTTTTGTCAGATATTGTCATTAAAAGAACTGTCATTAAAACTTCAGTTGAAAAGGACAAAGTGAATGTTTATTCATCTGTGCTGAAGAACGCATATCCCAACATATTACCAATATGTGGTAAAAAATTTAAATAGTGTTACTTAATGCAGCATCATGATTCAATAACAGCTCACAAAAATAACAGCACATCATCATACCATTAAGCACTAAAAATACACATTGTGCTGTTTAAAAAAATGCAGTTGTACAGCTGTACAGTTCACTGTTGTAAGGCAGAAAATGAACTGAAAACATGTAGCTCTAGTTCACATTACAGTCCTAACTTTGACTTGATAACTCAACTGAGACTACAACCTGATGAAATGCAATATACAGACTGGTGTGTTCATTGCATTAGTTGCATGGAAGGAATTTTAAATTGTCATTGTTGGTAACAAAGCAAAAACAAATGGTAAACAAGGAGTCATCTGTCTATATCAAAAGAAAAAATACTGATGTGTGTGTTTGCAACATGGCAATGCTGTGCAGCAACCCGCAAAATATAGTTTCCACTTGTTAAGACATTTGTTTATTTCACCAATCTCTGAACAATTCACTGAACAAGCCCTATCAATTCTCTTTGGTTTATTCGATGTTATAAATGAGACTATATGATTTAAGTCTCATTTAAACTATTATATAATGAACGTTTGAAAAAAAAAAAAACCATTAAAAATTCATGTTTGCACAAACCCAACATAAATCGAAATGTAAGCTTATGAATCATTGAATTTTAGGTGCAAATACAAAAAGAAAACACCAAAATAGTATTGAACAGACAGATAATAATATAATACTGAATGTTTAACTACTAGTATGTAACAGATTTATTGCCCACATAACCTGCATGTTACCCAACAAGTAGATTTCTATAAATGTAGAAATGCACGCAGACCCAGTGAAATGGTGCTCACCTTGATTTTTAAAAGTGCTTTTAAAAGCCTAACTGCTTACCTCATCAAGTGCCTTTAATTTATATTTAAACTGAAACATCAATTTACAAAATGTATAAAAGTTTCAAAATAGACAAAAAAACAAAACAAAATCCAATGTGTTTAAGCTTAAAGATAATTTAAAAAGCTATACAAGTCCTCAGTGGTGTCCCTCGATCTCATAACTCTAGGAATGAATAGGGTGGTCCGGGCAAGGGTGAGAGTGACGATAATTGGTTATGAAATGTGCAGACTGATGCCACCAGTAGAACATGAGCACCACCAATATGTGCCAGACCTGATGGCTGGAGCCCAAGTAGTTCAGCTGACCTAGAGATGACAAAAAGAGCATTAAAGCATTAATTAACTTGTCTGAGGTTGGTCCTCTCACACAGCAATGTGAGTCAATTTAATTAAGGCAGGTGTGTGTGGCCCTTGGTTTAGTCCATCACTCTAAAAAACTTCTCTCTTTGGACACAGTTTCAAATTTGACAAAAGTGACATGTAACCCTGCTTTCATCTCAGGATGCCACACTGAGCTCTCCAATTGTGAAATAAAGATGAAAGAGTAAGAAATATTGTATTTCCCAGTACCTGGGAAATAACGCTCTGGAACTTTGGACATGTAGAAGATGATAGCAGCTACAGCAAGTACATACATTATCAGCACTCTGGGAACAACTTCCTACCAAAAAAAAAACAAAAAACAATACCCTCAATAATACCAACATGAAACAATCAATCAATAAGTCACTCAATATACAGTATATATGCATAGTAGTTGTGGAAAAATGGGTAAAAATGTCTGGTAAATATACATTAAAAAAAAAACAGTAATAACAATAATAATAATAATGTTGTAACTTCTAATTATATATGTGTGTGTGTGTAAAATGTAATATATATATGTCTGGCAATACTCATTATTATTAATATGGTTGATGTTTCTTAAGAATATCTATTAAAAAATTTTGAGGATGCCTTTTACCTGGACTATGTCTGAGCTGAAACCCCCACTGAGCCAGATCCAATGAAAGGTGGGGATTAGGCCATATCCTGCCACAGCACAGAATATAACAGAGCGAAGCTTCTGCCACTTCTTGGTCAAGTAATGAGGGTGGATCTGGGCAAAGAACACTGCCAACATCATGGCCAGAACGGTTACCAGGTACACCTGCCGCCAGTACTGCAGACAGTTACACAAACCAGACGAAACTACATGAACCACAAACACATGGAAGTCCTCTTAATGTGCACAACATAGACACAAAAAATCACTTGTTCTGGAGGAGGAAAAAAAACTGGTGCAAGAAAAAGCAATGGAGAAAGCGGTCCCTCTTTCTCTTGGGGCACTTGGCTGATTGAGTAGTCATCCAAAAAGCAAAGCTAAACACTTGGCAGGGGGAGAGTGGAGATGGCTCACCCACGTGTGAATGTCATATGGTGGGGAACAGGAGTGACGGAGTGGGTCCATGAACACCGCCATCTGCTTTGGGCTGGAGCAGATTTCTGCCGCATTCTGGGGCACAATAAGCCAGCACTTCCAATATGTGGGGCGAACCATGTGGAGCAGCGTGGCCAAAAGCGCTGGTGCTCGGCAAACAGCAAGTGGGAGTAGAGGGGACGAGAGCAAGCAGCTTGCTCAGGATATCCAAGATCCAAGCTTTCAGAAAACTGCACCAGAATCTTGAAACAAAGAAGATTCCATGCCAAGTGGCACCTCGTCGTTTTTATACAGGCAGTACAAAGCCGCTCCACAGGGGGTCCATTGTGCAAACTAACAGGAAAGGAGGAATAAACTATCGTACAACATAATCAAAGATACTCTAGCACAGTGTTACAGTAATCTCATGGGAAATGTCAGGAACTTTCCTATTAAACGTTCATACTATTCCTCGCTTTTTAAGCGACAGTTCACCCAAAAATGAAATTCCTTTTTATTTACTCACCCATGTCATTTTAAACTTTCTTCTGTGAAACACAAAAGTAGGTATTTTGAAAAATGTTTATGTCCATACTAGGGCTGTGAATCTTTGGGTAGACAGCGAATCAATTCGATTCACGTTTCATAGGTTTTCGATTCAAGAACGATTTTTGCAAATTCAGAACGATTCAATTCGATTCGATTCACAATTAGATTCGATTAACGATTCGATTCTGCATTCTTTAAGTGCATTCACAGGATTATTTAAATGCTTCCCCTAAATGCTTAGTCAGGGGGCAAATTACACAGCAGCCTTTATGGCTACAGAACCACAGGTTAGAGAGAAAAAAACACTTTTGTCCATTGTTAGATGCTAGTTTAATGATGCTATGGCATGACATGGCATATGTAGAAATTTATGTAAGCCAAGATTTTAAAAAAGAGCTTTAAAAGTATTATGTATAGGCTTAACATTTTGTCACACCAGGGGCGTAGCCATCATTTCAGAAGTGACAGTTATTGTCAGATACAATAATTTTATGTATGTATGTATTATTATATATATTTTTTTTTACAAGGAATTCTTTTCTTATATCTTACTTTGAATTTGCTATAAGAAATCAAATACACTTCTGGACAATAATCAAATCATTTGTAATCTATATATTTTTTCCTAATGGCAATTTTATTATTGTTTTATATACTACAAACAATTATTTAAATTTTCTGCACAGAATAAGTTAGAAAATATACTTTATAGTTTCTGTACTGTAATAAATGATATGTCAATTAGCACTGCATCATTCATAAATGTTATTTATTTATTGTGTTTACTATCTTAACGTTTCATCAGTTCATTTTGCTTTTTATTCAGATTAGCTGCAGATATAGCCTGGCACGTCTTAAGTTCTATGAGCGCGAGATCACTTCTCTTTCAGTGCGAAAACTTTTTTTCATAAAATAAAATGTTTAACTTTTCCTCTCCATCGGCGAATGATGATTCTGAAAGAAAACGCGCCCGAAGTCTGTTTGCTATTAGCAACGAACGCTACTTTCATGCATCCGATTATCAGATAAACCTTCCGCTCTTATTTCAAGGTTGTTGTAAAGCTGTTGTTATTTTAACGGTTTCCTTCGTACATTCGGTTCAATGACATTGTTTAAACACATTTATCATTCAATGGAACTGTGCGTATGCTTTAGACACTTACATTTTTGCTCCGTCATGCAATAAATTAGGCTTAAGTGGGCTGCAGCCCATGGGCCCCGCCTTGTAGGGGGTCCCGCCTTTGCCCGTTTACATTTGTTTGATTTGTTCGTTATATGCCAGTAAGAATTCA